AGGAATCTCTACCTTGGTGTGTGCTGGCTGGGGAATTCTGGGAGTTGAAGTCCACAAGTCTTAAAAGTTCCCACGGTTGGAGGCCCCCCTGCATTAGGGTACAAGTGCCGCTTAGTGTTCAATTTGTGCAAAGTTTGGGCCAGGCATACTCTTTTGCCCCTGATGCAGGTAGTCCTCGACTTACGACAGTTGAGCCCAAAATTTATGCGGCTAAGTGAAACATTTCTTAAGTGAGTTTTGTCCCATTTTACGACTTCTCTCGCCACTGTTGTTAATTGAATCACTGCAGTTGTTAAGGTAGTCACACGGTTGTTAAGTGAATCCCACCCACCCCCATTGACTTGGCTTGTCAGAAGATCACAAAAAGGGGATCACGTGGCCCCCCGGACACCGCAACCATCATAAGTACACGCCAGTTGCCAAGCGCCTGGATTTTGATCACGTGACCACGGGGGATGCTGCAATGGTCGTGAAGTGTGAAAAATGGTCACCTTTTTTCAGTGCCGTTGTAACTTTGGTCATTAAATGAACGGTTGTAAGTCGAGGACTAGCTGTGATTGACCGAAACTAACTTGTAACACATATAGGAATTCACTTACTAATTAAAGCTGTGTTGCTAGTCTCCTTCTGGAAACGAAATTTCTTTAGTTTCTCGATCAGCGACGGATCCACATCACACACAACCAGGGAATCTGACTAAAGAAGGAAGAGCAAGGTGGATTTCTTCCCCACTCAGGTCTATCATGTCTCATTTCATGTTCCTGAAGGCCACGTGGGTCTCCTTCCCTCTTTGATTACATACTGCAAAAGACTGGCTGTATTTTCAAAAATTTCAGGCTCGTATCCAGTAAAAAATGGGAATAGGTGACCTATGCCAGAGAGACCTGCGTTCTTAAAACCGTAGCCCATTTTGCTACAGCTGAAGGTTTAGAAGTAACTATAAACTTTAATTGAAACTGGTACTAAAATTCCCAATTTCCAGATGGGTGCATGGGGCAGGGGGGAGCTGGTTGCACAAGACTGCAGGATTATACGCAACTAGGCGATATTTTTCTAATGCCTTTCTGCTTTTGCAGTTCCTCATTTTTTAAAAACCACGATGTTAACGCCAAAGATTCACAAAATCTTTTTCACCTGGGTTTTGGTGCCTGCGTCCTCGTTCTGAACACGTGTGCTCTGTGCAATGGCATTTGCCTACAGTCAATCCATCAAATCTTAATTAATGGTCATAGACCAGCATATGGCTACTTGTTACAGCTTTTCTCCCAGCCTCTCCTCTATCGGTTTGCTAGTGTAATGTGGACCTGTTAGATTTTTGGCAGCAGAAACCATGTTGCCTGCGTGCATCCTTGGTGCAACATTCACGAACACAGACATGTTTTGAACTGATTACAAATCACGAGGTTACCAGAGGTCAAATTAACCTCATCTGCCGCCCTAGTTTCTAGGACATTTTATGCCTAAATTAAATTTCTCCAGCTGCTTTTTGAAAACCTGAGGAAAGGGGCTTCTGGGTCTTCATTTCGGGGACCAAACAGGCTTAAATCTTCACAAGACACTCTGCATCTTGGTTATAACTTAACCTCCCTTATTCCAAAACGCCCTTGTTTTGAAATGCTGATCTTTCAATCCAGCACACCGCAGCAGAGGAAGTGAGTCTCTGCCAACCGTCAACATGAGCTTCCACTGGGGCCATAACTGTTTCTCTTGAAGCTTCATTTTGAGAGATGGCAAAGAAACGGTTCCTCCAAAACCTCCCCCAGATCTGAAAAAAATAACTGACTGATGGGCAAAGGGACCCATAGAATAAATGTTTTAAAAGACCACTTTTCCAAACCTGCTAAGCCAATATTGGAAGCAAGGGCCCCACCCAGATTAAGGAATCGTTTAAGCTAACCATTCTGCCCTGCGGAGGATCTCCAGTCGTCTCTCCTCGTCTGTTGAAATCTTGCAGCTCCGAGTTCGGTGCTTTCTGCCCTGTTGTGCAGGATGTGTTGCTCTTCAGCTCGGGACACCCTCCGACAGATGCAAAGGGAAAGACAGAGACAGATGCAAAGGAAAGACAGATTGGGAGGAAGTAATTGCCGATGATGGGGTGGAGCATAGAGCAACGCTAAAGTTTTGCATTTTTACTTGCAAAAGAGGAAGGGCCACCCAGACCACAAGGTGGGAGCTTACGCGGCTGTATTTGGGAGTGTTTTTCAAAGGAGGAATAGGTGCAAGGAGGCTAGGAATTAGGCTGCAGTCTTCAGCTCAATTTCAAATAAGAGTTTAGCAAAGTGAGTCCCTCAAACAAGCGAGCCAGGATGCCGGAGGGACAGCAAATTGGTTTGACCTAGTAGAGCAAGGTTGGGAAAGTGGCGATTTTATGACCGGTAGCCTTCAACTCCCAGAATTCCTCAGCCAGCCATGCATTCACACATCTTAAAGTTGCCAAGGTTATACAGCTGTTTTGTAGGTTTTTTTAAAGAAAAATACTTATTTTTTAATATTTCTGAGCAAAAGAGTGCTCAGAAAAAAGTGTGAGGTTTTTAAGAAGGATCCAACAGACCTTGGTCAAATCAAGTAGGTTCCTTTAACTCAAAGTTAGATTTAACAGATTAACAGAGTTGGAAGGGACCTTGCAGGTCATCTAGTCCAACCCCCCCCCCAAGCAGGAGACCATTTAGTTCCCAGAATCCTCAGTCAGTCGAATCCATACATCACAGGCGGCCAGCAGCTGAAAAATAACAAGGACATCACCTACAGATCGGAATTGCTGTATCTGTTGCTAAAATATAATCATCTTCAAACTTAAGTTATCCAAATAAACCAGTTGGCTCTCCCAAAGGTGCTTTTTTTCAAGCACTTTCTGGTTTTCCTTTCGCTGGCTGGGGAATTCTGGGAGTTGAAGTCCAGACATCTTCAAGTTGCCAAGTTTGAGAAACACTGCCAGACAGTTGGCTGGTTTCCCACAACCTAGGAGTCACTTTATAGGTGAGGTGAGAAGCATGTAAATTTGTGTGTGTGTGTGTGTGTGTGTGTGTACGTATATAAGTAAATAAATAAGCATGCTGAATGAAAAGCCAGCCAAGTGATCCCTAATTCCTTGGGGGAAATCCCTCCTATGGGGGGGGGGGGGCAAACCCAGATTGGGCGGGTTGAGGAACTACAGATGAGCTGAAGTCCCACAAACCCCACATACGCAGGGACACCTCGAGGGGGAAGGAAGCAACATCACAACACACGCAACAGGGGTGTCAGCCTCTGCCTTGCTGCTGCTTCAGCTGCCATTGAAACGGGGATGGGGGGGGGCATGGTATTTGGGAAGGGAATCATTATGTGCTGGAGGAATATTCTAGACGCTGACCTGACCATCTCACTGCGCATGTGGAGGGAGTTTCCTGCCAAGGTTAACTGTCCGGCATTCCACCCTGGTGATGTTTTTTTGAAGATATCTCCCACCTGACAGTTGGGTGCATTATAATTGGACTATGGACTGAGGTGCCAATGGGAGGGAATTGAATTATACATGATATTCTTTGCATTTGCGCCTAATTAACTGTTGTCATATAACTCCTTGTGTAGGTGTGGTGGTCACCCATGGCCCAGTGCATAACAGGGCATGCGCAGCCACGCTGAACCACACAGGAAAAAACAAACGCCTAAAGGACATAACATCCTGATAGTTCACTCTAGATGTGCCTTACCCAATGACGCCCAGGATTTGACCATATATAGACAGAATTTCCCTGAGCAGTAGATT